ATCCTGCAACCCAACATTTTACCGTCAACAATTTTGGCGTTGAATATTCTACATCGTAGTTGAATTTTTTAATAACGCTCAAAATTTGCAGCCGCGTCATCAAATCATCTTTTTCTGATAACTTTGGCCAACCGCTAACTCCATTGAACTAAGCTCGATGTTAACATATTCGGAAATTGTTGCAGGAATTGTCTTTGGTGGTAGAGTTTCAACACCATCTTCTACGTCAGAACTTCCTCCATCTTTTGATATTGCAGAAGTTCTGTATTCTTCGTCATCGGAACTAGCACCATCCGGATCTTTGCATCCATCATATCTGGAACTCAAATCTCCGTTTTCTTCATCTTCTTGTTCTTCTTATCTCCTTCGTCTCCTTCGTCTTCTTCAACCGCAACATCCTCGGATTGTAATGAAGACTTTTATCCAACACCAGGAAGATTGTCTCCTCTTGAACCACAATCATCGGTAATTTTTGTTTCAACTTCAATGCACATGCGAATGGAATCTTCTTTCAATTGCTCTAAAAACCCACTTAACTGTCTATTGTTTCCCCCAAATACAGGAGGCAACATCTCCTTCGACAACATATAACTCAACTGCACATCTTGGTTTCGAGGATCCAAACCAAAATCTTCAAACACCATTCCCAGAAATTCAGCAAAATAAGTTTCTGCATGTATCTGTAATATCCTACATCCCTTTGCTCTGTCTACGCCGAAGGTCCATCGATTCATCTGAAATCTCCATTGATCACAAACCAAAACTATTTACTGCATCTTTGAAATCTTAACAAACTGAAACCAAAAGATAGCGAAATCAAGACTTTGATAAGTAAGAGAAGGAAGCTTGAAATGATTATTTCATGCAAATTTTTCTTTTTTTTTTTAGAACTAATTGAGGAAGGAGATGAAAAAAATTGGAAACACACTCTAGGGCTTGCCGTCAAGTGTTGAAGGTAAAGTCGCTTGTTTTTTTTTTTGGTCCTTACTTCTTTTTTTATTTATTTTTTTATGTGGTCCCTTCCTTACTTAAAATTCCACAAACTCCCAACAAACTCTTCTCCCATCGAGTTTTCCGCCCCGTATTGTCTTTCTCGACGATTCCGACGTCGCCATCATCACTATCGCTGGCACGGCCGCCGCCTGTTGTCCCTCTCTCCGATTCTGAGGCTGCAGACTAAGTAAGTTTTCCCCATCCCTTGTTTTCGTATCAAATTTCACATCAACCGCCTCCCATCAATTATGTCCAAAAATAATAAGTCTACCGTCAAACGAGTCGCCTACATAGTAAGCGAAAAGTAATTATACAATCGTAAATGTCTTTTTTGTCAACAAAAGCTTTAAGGATATATACTCTAAATTAGTTGAGTAATAAAAAAAATTAGATCATTCTAGACATAAATTTATCTTTCAAAATTAGTATAGTAATCCTCCCTAATAAATACTATTATCAGCTACTTTTTATTAAAAAAAATTATGTATGTGCATATGTACCGCCAATCACCTAATTACATGTATACGTAAATAGACAATAAAAGAATCTAAAGCGACCACTGTGTAATAAAATGATTCTAGAAAAGAAAAAATTTAAAAACACTTAGCAAAATATTAACATTAGTTAACTTGAGAGTATAAAATCAAATAAAAAAATTTATGGGCTCAGTTCTGATTGAAATTCAAAGACATTTAGCTAAATATATTCAAAGACACAAGTTGAGAAATTATATATAGTGAAAAATAAATATAAATAAAACTCAAAATAAATACTTTATTTTTTTGGCTTTTGCTTTTTATTAATATTTTTTGTCTTATTATATTTTTTCTTTTTATTTTGTTATATTTTGTCTCATTTTTATTTCTAATTTTTGCTATATAACTATTGTTCGAGTGTATTTTGCAGGATACTAACGGGGTTGTGTCATTTGTCTTGGTAGTGGAGCTATGTCTCCAATTTTCATCCTCTAGGGAAAGGAGACGAGCCGTTCCAGGGCGGAAATCTGTTCCTATCTTGCAGACATCATTGAGAGCGTGTTCGAGCCCTATGAGCACTAAAAGAAAGGTCAGACGGACTTTCGGGAGGACCGAAAGAGGGTTTTTCTACCGAAAATTCTCTGACGCCTAAATCAATGAACGTCCTACAGGGAACAAATACTTGGAGGGTCGATCTCTTCGAGTTTTCTGCATAATGAACATGAGTTATCCAGTTCCCTAAGTTTTTGCCATGAAAGTCCATACTCAACACGATAACCTTGTCTCGCATCCCAAGGAATACAGTACTGGTCTGGGAGAAGCTAAGTTCTTGAATGGAAAAGGCTATGCTTAAGTAAGGACTTGCCCGGACTGTGCCACACATCTTTAGGGATGTGATACTTGTTGGGGAGTTAGACTTCCGGCGAAGCAAAAAGAATATCAACTCCAACCCTACCACGTACCTCGAGGGAGTACAGTTCCAGGCGGAAGAATTAAACTTCCGGAGAAGAGAATAAAAGGGGTATCAACTCTGACCTTATTCGTTTATCCTGGGGGAGCACATTATTGGTAGAAGAACCCACACTTCCGGGGAAGCGAATCGCGGGGCGGTTATACTAGGTATCAACTCTGACCTTATTTGCATCCAAGTGAGTATGTTATTGGTCGAAGGAGCTACATTTCCAGAGAAGCAAACTGCAGGACGGTCAGACTAGATATATAATAAAAGGACTTGCTCTGGCCTTGCCGCATATCCGGGAGAGTATGCTATTAGCCGAAAGAATTAGGCTTCCGGAGAAGGTAGGTGATGGGGTCCTATCCGAATGGGGCATGCATCCCGGGGGACTACATACTTGTTCAGGATAGAAGGATATTGGAATACCTGGAGGAACTAATAGCTCGTCCATCGATGGATATCTCCCCGGAGAAAGTTTACTCCTTACTTCGTAATGCGCTAGAAAATGAGCCGTCAGGGTCATGAGAGAGGTTATAGCCTTATGTGACTATGGGGATCGACATAAGATAACGATGCAATATCCTTGAGGGTGTTACCTCGACTCCCTTACTTCCAGGGAAGTATTTGCGTTGTGCTTACGCCGAAGTTTCTGTGTTTTATGAATGTGCTTGTGAGGTACCCGGGGAGAAGAGGTCGGGGAAGTTTTCAGGAAGAGAAAGCCTGCGAATAAGCGACTTCAATTCCCGTGGTGCCTGAGTGGAAAGCATGTCCTCAAGGGGAGCATGCTGTTTTGTCGCACCGCCCGCTGGAGGGGACTGGCGAGGAAGACCCGGAGGTCTGTCTAAAGTGGTTATGAGACAAGATAAGATGATAATAAAATTTAAGAAATTTTCTCTCTGAAAATCTAATTCCACAAATTGCACACAAAAAAATTAAACTTGTAATATTTCACCAAAAAACTTTTTTAATAATATGATTACAAAAACTTTCCGTTAAAAACTTCATTCTGCAAATTTTCCACCAAAAACATGCATTAGTAACTTTCCCACCAAAAGAGTACATCAAAATATGATTTTATATACATTTTCCCAAAATTTTGATTTCGTAAATTTTTTCCGCCAAAAAGTGAATCCATAAAAATTTCCACCCAAAATATTACACTGAAAAATATGATTCCAAAAAATACCGGTCAAAATTTTGATTTCATGAATTTCTTGCAAGATAAGTGAGATTATAAATTTTCTGCCAAAAAACTTACTTAAAATATTATTTCAAAACTTTTCCGTAAAAAGCCCGATTACAAAAAAAAATTCCGTCAAAAATGTGAATCAGTAACCTTTTAACCAAAACATTTATGTCAAAAAGGATATTTCAAAAAAAAGTATTTTGTCAAAATTTTAATTCCGTGAATTTCCTGGCAAAAAGTGAATCAATGAAAAACTTATGCCAAAAATTTACATTGAATATATGATTCCAAAAACTTCAGATTAGCGATTTTACCGCCAAAAATTCTGAATCCATAAATTTCTCGTAAAAAAATATGTTAAAATATAATTTTAAAAATATTTCGTCTAAATTGGTTGGCACAAATTTTTTACCATATACTTGAATCCGTAAATTATGTATCAAAAAATTTACATTGCAGATAAAATATCATTTCAAAAGTTACAAGTCCATGATGATGTCATATTTTTTTGTTAAAAGGGTGAATATGTTTTCAGCCAAAGAAGTGAATGTATAAATTGTCAGTTAAAAAATATTTTATAAATGTGATTTCAAAACAAAATCGTGAATAATTTGATTTTGGTGATTTTTTTCGCAAACAAAATTAAATCCATACATTTTATTTCAAAAATGTGAATTCAAAAACTTTTCAGAAAAATCAGTTGCCACAATGTTTTTGTCAAATACTTGAAATTTGTAAATTTCTCCAATAAAAGCTGTATTGGAAATGTGATTTCAAAAACAAATTCCCAATTTTCCACCAAAAACTTAGATAATTAAATTTCTTATCAAAAACTTAACGTTAAATCTTATATATATATTAAATATTATCATATCATAGAGTACATGTACTTAAAAAAATAATATATCACAATTACATTATTATTATACTGGAAAAACATTTAAATTGTTCAAACTAAATATATTAAATAATAAAATTAAAACAAGTGAGCATTTTTTACTAAGCTACATTATCAATTAGTAGTATGTAGAGAATGCATAAATTAAAGTTTAAAACAATGGAAGCGTGTTATATTAAGTCCTATAAATGCAATGAATAAAAGGAAGCATTTTTAGCCTCAGGGTTCCGTGCAAATTAAGAAAGACTTTGACTAAGATTTTTTACAGGAGGGCCAAAGTGGACTTGACTCTTACATTTGGTAAAGAAGTTACCTTAATGACCGAGAATTTTTCCAAACTTTTACTTAAATGGATATAGTCAGACTAATAATTGTGGGTTTCTTCTTTTCCTTTGCTTGCCCTAAGTGTGCAAATGACTTACCAACCGTTGAATTCCAAAGGTAGTCAAACGATTCTCACACTTGAAAATCATTTTCAACCTCTTTAAAAACCCCTAATAAGATATGTTAACATTCTTGAAACCAAAACAATATACAGATATTTATCATCTATCTCCATCAATGGGAAACTCTCTTAAGTCTTTCAGACAACAACCATCTTCAACTGCTTACGAGCCTCTCATCTCGGTTTCAGGTACATCTCTGTTTGTAAATTGCACTTTACGTTTTTTTTATTTATCTGAATACGTAACTTTGAGGCAGAAAAGGAGAATCTTAGAGCCTTCACCTTCACGGAACTGAAGAAAGCAACCAAGAAATTCAGACCAGACATAATCGTAGACGTAGTTGGCAACAACTGCTTTGTTCGGACATTCTACAAGTGCTACATCGACAAGAACACATTTTCTCTATCAAGGACTGAAACCGGAGTCGCTGTTTCTGTCTTGGAACGTAATAGTGTACCGTACACTCTACAAGTGGAGGTAAAGCAAAGTCTGTTCATTTTCAATATGTATCTATAAAGAATTATTTTTTTTTAGGTCTTTTGTGTATCTGATGGGCACAAAAACAATTGAGTTGCAGGATCAAGAGATCAAGTCTAGAGGACAGATTTATCATCCCAATTTGGTCAAAGTTTTGGGTTACTGTTGTAAAGATAACACATCACACTTCTTGGTTTTCGAATACTACAAAGGAAGTTTGGATCGTCACATCTACGGAAGTTAAGATCTATTCTTGGGAATGTTACCATTATAGTCAATTTTTTCTTTACATATATATAGTTTTGATGTTTCTCTCAACAGAAGAAGAGGCATTGCCATGGGATATAGCTCAAGGTCTGGCGTTTATACACTCCATCAAGAACTTTCCACTCGATCAAGAACTCAGATTGCATAACATCATGCTTGACGAGGTAGTGGTTTTATTTCCAATTCTTTTTCTTCTTCTTTTCGTTTATGATCTTAGAAATATTAATACCTAAGTGTTGATTTTCGTCAGGAATACAATGCAAAACTATTTTATCTTGATTCAAACGAAGAGTGTTTGGAATATACACAAATCAGAAGAACAGATGATGTATACAACTCTCCTGAATCTCTTTGTTTCAACGGTACCATACACCAAAATCCGAACTTTTTGTTTGAAATGTTTTTCATTAATCTTATATTTTTGATGTTTTAAGACAATTGTGTAATGTATGTAGGGAATATTGTGGAGACCGATGTTTTCACATTTGGTGTCATCCTGCTTGACCTTTTAACTGGTTCCAAAGATACAGTTAAAAACGAGAGAAGCAAAAGCTCAGGTGTATGGACATCGTTATTGTCCGATGATCATAAGATTGCGGAAATCATCGATCCAAGACTTGGCAACAGTTATCCTGTGAATGCAGCGACACAGATCGGCACACTCATAAGAAGATGCACCAAGTGGGACAAGTGGAAACGACCATCGATGGAACAAGTCTTGGATACTCTAAATTATATTGCAGAGATTAAAGATTAAATGTGTAGAGGAACAAGTCTTAGATACTCTGATATGTATTGTAGAAAAGTGCGTCTGGTGGACAAAACCATAAGTTTTTCTAACGAACTCTAAATTACTTAAAGGTAAGTTTTACAATTTCATAAAATAATCAGAAAACCAAGGCCAAACGAAACTAAACCAAAGGTAACAAGTGTAATGATGAGATCATGAGATACAAAAGCAACATAAGTGGGAATTTGCTGAGTTTTAGTTAAAGGATTGGAGGAACAAGATTGCACTTAAGTGGATGAGCCATGGTAATAAGCATTTCTTCACCAGCAATCTCATTCATGTGGACATTGTTCCCTCTTATTCTCCACTCAAATCTTTGCATCATCACTCCAATAACGGTTCCAACTATAATATAAGCTAGATTTGATCCAGGACATCCTCTTCTTCCACTTCCGGACAGAAGGTACTTGGGCGTTCTCCCTACGGTGAGAGTGGGCTCGGGAACAGTGTGAGCTGAGGAGCTCGGCTTTATCGAATGTCTGGCATCGGGAGCGTAAAATAGATAGCTCGGGAGCTTAAAGAGAAAAGCCCGGGAGCGTAAAAGAGATAATAACTCGGGAGCGTAAAAGAGATAATAGCTCGGGAGCGTATTGAAGAAGAGAACGAGTAGGTAAAAATCTTTGGAGGAAGATGTAATAATTTAGGTAGCTCGGGAGCTTGACGTAAAGATGAGCATGTAAAAATCTTATAAAGATGTAATAATGTACCCGATCTTGACAATTTGAGAGCTTGTGTAAGACAATGGAGTTGTCCGATGAAGACATTGGAGTTGTCCGGATTTTCCTTGATATTTGGGTCTTTGTCGCTTTGCTTTGGTCATCATTATTTTCCTTGTCTGATTTTTGGTGCAAAGTAGTTCGGTTCGGAGTGGCGGACTGTTACATGATGTAAGCTAGCTCGGTAAAAGACAAGCTCTAACACAGCTCGGTAAATAAGATGAGTGGTCTGGTAGCTCGGGAAGACGAGTGGTAAGGTAGCTCGGTAACAGTGACGTCAGATCAAAAAATAAGGTTTCATGGTGATGATGTAAATGTTTGTTTTTCCATCCAAAGAGAGATCAGGGAGATGTTGGAGATGCTCGTTGATTGAGAAGACGGGCTGTGATATATCTCGGTGAAGAAAAGAAGACGAGCTGTGATATAGCTTGGCGAAGAAAACGAGCTGCAATGAAGCTTGGTAAAGAAGATTACAACTCGGTGAGGAAGATGAGCTGGCATAGCAACGTGTTCAAGCTGATTCTACTCAGGCTGACGTGTCAATGAGTTTGATGAGTACGAGATCGTTAAAGACATTGTTGGGTGGCCAAGTAGTAGAAAATGTGATTATTAATCACGTCTGCATTATTAGCATAAGCTTAGTTTGGGAGCGTTCTTTTTCTCTTTTTTTTTTATGAAAAAAAAAAACATATGCTTGAGCTTAGTATCAAAGCGATGATGTACTTAACTCGACGATCTTGGTGAAGAAAGACGAGCTGTGATGAGCTAATGTGGTGTGAACTTGAATGTTATAGGCTGTAATGTAGATCGGGAGTGCAAGTGTCTCTTTGATGATCAAAACATAGTGGGTGAGTGATGTTGTAGGATTCATTGGTGTTTGAGAGCTTGCTACTACGTTGCAATGATGCATCAATCTTATGTAAAGACGAGCTGTGTTGGAAATTTAAGTGAATTTATATAACCGTTGACGAACGGTTGCAACTACTTAAATGAATATTTGCAACTATTTAAATGAATCATTGCAATTGTTGGGATTATGGTTACAACTTTCGGTAACTAACCATTGCAACTGTTGGGTTTATGGTTATAATCTTTGGTGATCAACCATTGCCAACTGTTGGTGTTCAACCATTGCAACCCGATCAACCATTGTGACCTTTTGAAGTGACCTTTGGTTTCCTATATAAGGAGTTGTGGGCATTGTCAAAATCATAACAACAAAAAACAGAAAGTAAGTAGAAACAGAAAAAATAAGAAAGAAAGAAAGAGAAAGTTTCACTGTTCCAAAAGACTATAAAAGATCTTTAGAAAAACACATATCAACACTAGAACTCTAGTGTGTCTCTTGTATCTTAGCCTAGAACAAGAGAGACTTTTGGTTGTCTTATCCTACAAGGGATTTTGTGTAACCCAAGGCTTGATAAGGGTCGAAATACTCTTTAAGGAGAGTGTCCTCGTGCGCGATTCAATCATTATCCAAGTACACAATTCATCATTCGGGTTACCAGAATCCAACAATCTTAAAGAGTAATTTCTTGTGAACTATTACTAGTGTGTCTGTGCGAGAGATGACATCCAAGTTTGGAAAACTGGATAAGTTTGAAGGAGTAGATTTTCGATGATGGCAAAAGAAGATGCAATTCCTCCTCACAACGCTTAATGTAGTGTATGTTCTAAGCATGCCAATGCCTACTGTGCCAGAGGATGCTGAGAACGAGTCTGTGGAGGAGACAAGGAAGCTACTTAAATGGGAAAACGACGATTACATATGTTGTGGCCACATTCTAAACGGTATGTCAGATCCACTCTTTGATGTTTATCAGAATGTTGAATCCGCAAAAGAGTTATGGGATGCATTAGAATCAAAGTACATGGCAGAGGATGCTTCTAGTAAGAAGTTCCTTGTGAGTAATTTTAATAATTACAAGATGTCTGATTCTAGACCGGTTATGGAGCAATACAATAAAATTGCTTTGCATCCTAGGGCAATTCGCCCAACACAACATGAAGATGGATGAGTCCATCTCAGTGTCGAGTATCATCGACAAGTTACCACTTTCATGGAAGGATTTTAAACACATGTTGAAACACAAAAAGGAAGATTTGTCAATTGTACAACTTGGCAGCCATTTGCGCATAGAGGAATCTCTAAGAGCGCAAGAGGGAGAAAAACCCAAGGAGGGTGGATATTCTTCCATCAATATAATGGAGGTAAATGGGAGTTCTAAGATGAATAATAAAGGGAAAAAACGTCCCTTTAATAACAACACTAACTATGGAACTAACAAAAGGCTTAAGAGCGTTTGTTGGAATTGTAATAAGCCTGGTCACTTGAGACGTGATTGTCGGGCAGGAAAGGATAAGAATATAACGGGACAAAACCGTTTGGGGCAAGGGTCTAAGGACCAAGGCCCATCCACTCATCAAGGTCAGATCTCTGCTTTTTATTTATATTCTAATGTGAACTATGTATCAATGATTTCTGAAGCATTTTATGTGCAGGATGAAGAAGTGACGTGGTGGATTGACTCAGGTGCAACAACACATGTTTGCAAAGATCGTGGATGGTTCAAGACATATGAACCTGTTCAAGATGGATCTGTTCTTCATATGGGAAACGAGTCAACTGCCCCTATCCTAGGTCGTGGAAAAGTGATGTTGGAATTTAGTTCCAGGAAAACTATTAATCTTGATAATGTACTTCATGTACCCGGAATTAGGAAAAACTTAGTCTCCAGTAGTGTTTTAAATAAGTGTGGTTACAAACAAGTGTATGAATCCGATAAGTATGTCTTATCGAAGTGTGGTGTATTTGTTGGATTTAAATATTTCTGTAATGGCATGTTTATGCTTAATATTAATAAAGTTATCAATTCTATTTATATTGCAAGTTCTAGTAAAAATGATACTTCTCTATGGCACGCTAGATTAGGTCATGTACATTATAAGCGTATGATTGATATGTCGAAAGAAGGACTAATTCCTACTTTTGACATGAATATAGAAAAGTGTAGTGCTTTGCATGTTGAATAAGATAGTTAAACAGCCTTTTAAAAGTATTGAAAGAAATTATGTAGTGCTAGGACTTATACATAGTGATCTATGTGACTTGCATGCTACACCATCTTTAGGAAACAAAAAGTATTTCATCACATTCATTGATGATTATAGTCGTTTTTGTTACGTGTATTTATTGCATGCTAAAGATGAGGCCATAGATAAATTTATGGTTTATAAAACTGAGGTTGAATTGCAACAGAATGACTTGATTAAGAAATTACGCACTAATAGAGGTGGAGAGTATTATGATCCTGTATATTTCCAGTATGTGAGAATCATACATGAAACTACAGCTCCTTATACACCACAACAAAATGGTGTATCAGAGAGGAAAAATAGAGTCCTAAAGGAAATGGTTAATTCCATGTTATCCTACTCGGGATTGAGTGACGGATTTTGGGGTGAAGCTATGTTAACAGCTTGTTATTTATTAAATAGGGTTCCTAACAAAAGGAACAATCTTACCCCTTATGAACTTTGGTTTAAGAAGAAACCAAACTTGAACTACCTTCGAGTTTGGGGATGTAGGGCTGTAGTTAGACTACCCCAACCCAAGATTAAAACATTGGGAGAAAGAGGAATTGATTGCATCTTTATTGGATATGCTGAGCATTCAAAAGCTTATAGATTATATGTCATAGAACCTAATGATTCGGTATCGGTTCACACCATAATTGAATCAAGAGATGCAATATTTGATGAAAATCGTTTTTCATCCATATCCATACCAAAGGATCTGGTTCCTATTTCAAATGGAACTAAAGAAGAAGATGAAACATATATATCTTCTAACATGTCACCTATACTTTGTAGAAGCAAGTGAGGGAGGATTGAAAAATCTTTCGGTCCTGATTTTCAGATTTATTTAATTGAAGGGTCAAGAGATTAGATTGGATTCCAATACTCATATTGCTATCATATTGATAATGATCCTAGGACTTATGGTGAGGCTATGAAGTCTCATGACGTTGCATTCTGGAAAGAAGCAATAAATAATGAAATGGACTCCATCATAGGAAATAATATGTGGGTCTTATCAGATCTCCCACCTGGTTACAAGCCTTTGGGCTGCAAGTGGATCTTCAAAAAGAAGATGAAAGTCGATGGGACTATTGACAAGTATAAAGCTCGATTAGTTATCTAAGGCTTTAAACAAAAGGAAGGTATTGATTATTTTGATACATATGCTCCAGTTGCTAGGATCTCTTCTATAAGGTTATTGATTGCTTTGGCAGCTATTAATAATGTTGTGATTTACCAAATGGATGTCAAGACAGCGTTCTTGAATGGCATTTTGGAAGAGGACGTGTATATGAAGCAACCTGAAGGTTTTAGTATACCTGGTAATGAGCATAAGATGTGTAA